GATCAATGGACTTTAATGTGACAGGATATGAAGAGCTTATTGGTATGATTTCAGATGGCACATTGCAGCTAGCTCTTAAGAGACTACCACTTGTTACATTTTGGTGCAGTATGAAAGATGAATTTACAAACTTTCTGAAAGGATATTAAAATAACCCCTCCTTTTCCAGTTATCTATGCATACATTAAAAAGATTTGCAAAGATATAAAACAATGCCAGTCTTCCCAAAATTTTCTTGTTTTGGAAAATATAGTTACATTTTTTAAAAAATGTTATGTAATGAATGGGTTTATTGTTACTTTTAAATGAATTACTAAATGTTTTTAACTTTCTCAGTCTTAACTTTTAATATGGTAAATATTCACAGATATAATGTACATAAACAAAAATTACTTGGGCCTGTCAATAATTTTTAAGAACGTAAATGGGTCATAGGCCCAAAATATTTGCTTAACTTTTAATATGGTAAATATTCACAGATATAATGTACATAAACAAAAATTACTTGGGCTTGTCAATAATTTTTAAGAACGTAAATGGGTCATAGGCCCAAAATATTTAAAAATTGCTGCTTTAGATTTTTTTTAGTAAGGGTTTGCTAGTGGAAAACCCTCAGCTTTTGCTTTTCTGAAAATGTCTTTATTTCATCCTCCTTCCTGAAAAATGTTTTCAAAAACAAAATTTATTTTTCTTTAGCACATTGAAGATGTTTCTTCCACTGTTTTCTAGACTTTGTCATTGTTGGTTGAGAAGTCAACTGTCATCTGTTTCTTCTTTGAAAGAAATTGTACTTTTTCCCTTCTGACTGCTTTTCAGATTTTTCTCTGTACCTGTGATGTTTTATAGTTTCACTTTGATATGTCTGGGTATAGATTTCTTTTTATTTATCTTACCTTGGATTTATTGGACTTCTTAAATCTGTGGATTAGTATCTTTCATCAGTTCTGTAAAAGTCTCAGATATTGTTTGTTAACATTTGATTAAGCATGTACTAATCAGACCTTTTTGTTGTATTCTCTTTGCTTCACCAGGCTATATTTTAGAAAATTTCTTCTGTCCTATTCAGTTTATTGTTCTGTCTTCTGTTTTTCTAATCTGCTGTTAAATCCATCTATTGAGTTTTAAATCTCATTTTCTATATTTTTTCATTTCTAGAATGTCTGGTTCTTTTCAGATCCAATAGATCACACTTGATAACTTCATATTATTACCTGCAGATATTTTAAAGCTTTGCCTTTTATTTTTTGTAATACCGTAAGAAGAGTTGTTTTATAGTGGATAATTCTAGTTTCTGTGGTATTTATGGGTCTCTTTATACTGTCTGTTATCTCTTCTGGTTTACACTCATGCTGTCTTACCTACTTATATGTTTGATTATCTTTGATTATGTGCTCTTTAAAAAAAAAAACTTATTTGTATTAATAATATGAAGCCTAGATTTTAAGTTATTTCCTTTCAAGATGGTTTGAGCTGTGTGGATGCATTACAAGTCCAGATTACTTTAAATATAGTGTTCTAGAACACCATAGGTGAAAAGTCATGAGGTTCAGATTCATCCTTACCTTATTGCTATAACCCTTTGGGAGTCCTTAATGTGAAGAGGGAGTTCTATTACTCTCCACTTTGGACAGGTCCTGGGCTTTGATCAGATTTGCCTAATAAGTAAATGCCCTCAGGGCAAAAACATCTGTGTTCTACTTACCTCTCTAGGGTCCTGCTTTTCGTTCAGTTTTGGTTTCAGTACCCATTATGGGAAACTGCCTCCAAAAATAGTGTGTTTTAAAATTTTAGTCTAACCATAAAAATAGGTAGTGCTTACCCTCTGGATGTAGATGCCATAGTAATAACTTTGAACTCCTACCTTATATGCCTTACATATAGGGCAAACCTCATTTAGTAAACATTGAGAGACAGTGTAGTGTAGTTGTTAAGATCACAGGATCTAAAATCAGACTGCCTGATTTAAATGCCGGCTCTGCATAAGTTCACATAGTTCACAAAGCAGTCTATATGAACTTATACAAGGTACTTAATCTCTGTGCCTTGGTTTCTTCATCTACAAAAGGAGAATAATAGTAGAGTTTAGCTCATTTGGTTGTTATGAGGGTCAGATGAGTTAAAGCAACAAGTAAACATTTTGCTTAGTGTCTGCCCCCCCCCATAGCTGGCTTTCAGGTGCTTAGAATAGCCCTGCACATAGTAAGTGCTCAATACATATTCACTGTTAATTATGTTAAGCATTTATTGAGTGTCTTGTGTACAAACGGACCTATGGTAAGATCTCCTGGTCTTTGGCGATATTCAAGTTAAGAAGGTAACTACACTTACCTGAGACAAGTAGAGAGCAATTAGACAGCAGTGATTAAGTTACTTACTTAAATAGTGGCTACCTTTTTGAAATAATACCATGTTTTATAAATTTCTGATCAGAATAGCAAAGAATCAATGCTTTTTCATGGAGGTGGTTTCTAAGACTTAGAGAAAGTGGAATTATGCCACGGACAACAATGATGCCGGGGACAGCCGTGAATGTGGTGCTAACACTTTACATCCGTATGTAGTTTTGAAGCATTTCTTTATGTTCAGGTTCTCACTGCAACCCTCTGAGGCAGTTATATGTATTTCTACTTTGTTGATCAGAAAAGCAAGGCCTAGAAAGTTAGGTGTGGAATAGTAGAAAGAGAGAGGCCGGTATCTTCATTTTAGAGAGCAGCTTGGTGATTCCTCACGAAGGTTAGGTTGGGAATAGTTTGTGTCCCAGCTCCTTTCTTTCTAGGAGTAGAGCTTAGAGAAATTCTTGAACATATTTACATGTGAACATGTAACATTTGCAAGTGAACATGTCCTACCTTCAGTAAAACAATGGACAAAAGTCTTAGGCTTATTCATTCCATGGAATACTATATGGTAATTAAAATAATAATGCAGACCTCTGTGTATGAACATGGATAAATCAAGAGACATAAAACTACATGGGAGGGCCGGCCCGGTGGCGCACTGCTACAGTGCGCCGCTTGGGAGTGCGGCGGCGCTCCCGCCGAGGGTTCGGATCCCACATACAGACCGGTTCCCGCTCACTGGCTGAGCGAGGTGCGGGCGCAGCACCGAGGGTTGCAATCCCATTGCCGGTCCCAGTCCGGTACGGGCGCGACACTGAGGGTTGCGATCTGTTGCCGGACACGAAAAAAGACAAAAAAAGGAAGAAAAAAAAAAAAACTACATGGGAAAAGCTAGCTGCAGAGGATAAATGTAATGTGAAACTGTTTATATAAACAAACACAAATATAGTATATACATGGGTACTTCAAAAAGTTCATGGAAAAACAGAATTAAAAGATAATTTGAGGGCCGAGCCCATGGCGCACTCGGGAGAGTGCGGGGCTGGGAGCACAGCAGCGCTCCCGCCGCAGGTTCGGATCCTATATAGGGATGACCGGTGCGCTCACAGCACTCACTGGCTGAGCACGGTGCAGCCGGTCTCAAAAAGGACAAAAAAAAAAAAAAAAAAAAAGATAATTTGAATCTTTCCACGAATTTTCTGAAGAATCCTCTTATTGTTTATGATATCTACAAAGGCAGAAAAAGTACAAAGAACAAAATTGTAAAAACTTACCTGTTTTAGGACAGCGAATGCTTCCAGGGTAGGGAGGGAGGTTGATCTGAAACAAATATAGTGAAGAGCTGACATTATCTAATTGCTACCTGGCTGTCTGATATATTGTCTTTTCTACACTTGAAATGGTATATATATATTTTTTTTTAGTAAAGAAACTTAAAAAAAAAAGAAAGTTTTGGAATTAAATAGACCTCAGTTCAAAACCTGCTACCCATTTACCCAAATTTCTTTCTCTTTCTGATCCTCAGTTTCCTCATTTATATGAGGTAATTATAACTTCTCTAAGATTTTCATGAGGACTGCATGAGATGATATATATATAAAGTGTCCACTGTAATATCTGACTTCTTATAGGCACTCAATAAATTGTGTTTTTTAAATGACTTACCCAAGGTTACATGGCTAGCTAATCTGTGGCAGCTCTAGGACTTGACCTCAGATATCCAGACTCTGAGTCCAGGGCCTCTTGCACTGCGTGGGTTAGATGAGGAAGCTGTGGTTAATGAAGCAGCAGATCATCATCAGGCCACTGTAGTTGCTAGTTGGTAGCATTACCAGGAAAGGAGCGAATGCTGCTCTTGTACTCTAAGGGAGCCCCACTCCTGCCCCTTCCGTATCTCTGAAGCCCTTCTGAGATCTTCAATCTTCAGCACCTAGCAAGCACCAAATCCAGAAGTGGAAAAGTCTTTAAATTTTTATTTTCAGTGGCATTGAGAGTATTAAGAACAAACATTGGAACTGAGAAAAGAGATCAATATTAACTTTTTAAAAAAGCTACTATATCCGGCAGCTTAGGCTGGGTTAAGTTGTGATAATTAACAACTCCAAAGTCTCAGTGGCTCCCAGTTACAAATGTTGATTTCTCACCCACATTCTGTGTCCATCGTAGCTCTGCTCGCCGTTCTCTGTGCCTGGGGTTTGAGTCTGGGACATTAGAGGACTCACAGCAGAGAGAGAGGGAGACTCTGGATTTCATGATGGTTCTTGGAGCTTCTGTTCAAAAGTGGCGCTTGTCACTCTGTGCACATTTCATCAGCCACAGAAGTTACATTGCCAAATCCGCAGTCAACATAGTGGGCGTATGGTGCTGCCACAGGAAGGGACAGTCGAGTGGTTACATTTCTGTGAACAGTGTATGCACAGTGGTTGCTAAAAACTTCCAAGTGTCAGGTCATGGAGGGGCAATTTAGGAAAATTAGAAATTACTCTAAGTTGAGAGGTGAATCGATGAAGGGCCTCATACGTATTCTTCAGCTGTCTCTGGACTCTTCAAAAAGTATTTTGCTAGTAGAAGAAGGAAGTTATTTTGTAATAATGTTTTTAAACATGCAGTTTGATTCAATTACTTTGTTTTGACTTTGACTTTTCTCTCTTTTGTTGACAGTGTCATCAGCAAAGTGGTTCCAGCCCCCGAGGCTAAGCCGGCCCCTTCTCTGAATAGACCTAAGACCCCTCCGCCAGCCCCTGCCGCAACCGCCGTCCCCGTGCACGTGAGCCCCGCCCCGGTGCCGCTGCCCCTCCTCGCCCAGGCCACTGCGTGCCCGGCCCTGATGCCATCCCCGGCCCCTGCCATCTCTGCAGCAGGAAGCTCCAAAGGCCCTGTACGCAGCGTGGTGACAGAGACGGTCAGCACTTACGTGGTGCGTGCGCTTCAGGTCCCCGGTCCCCGGTGCTCAGGAGCCCGCCTCTTAGGAGCCCCACGTCTTACCATGAAAATGTTTTCAGTTAAAACCAAGTGTCTGTGTGTCATTATTGAATTTCAGGGGCCATTCTTTATGACTGCAGAGGCATTGCGTTTTCAGTTTTTTGACTGAAAAGTTCCATTACAGTGTTCACATATTCAGTCTCCATAAATAATGTCACAGCATTGTTTTTTCCTTTATTTCATATTGCTTTGGAATATGACTATATACATATATACAACAATATTAATGTATAAATATAGAGATGAATAGTGATATTTAAATCCCACATTGAATTTCTTGATCAAGCAATTAAATCATTCGCTCAAGAGCATAATTTACGGAATGTTCACAGATCTTACAGGTCAGCTGGTGTGTCTGAGAGAAGCACTAACCGTACTGGTTCATTGGCTCAGATCCAAAATATACCAGGGCTTGCATATTAAATGGAAATGAGTTTTTGGACCACAGAGCTTCCTGAGTATCCAAGCATGGCTTCAGATTGTAAAACACACCGTGTTGGATGAGTCCACATTGTCCTAGGACAGTTTTTAGGCATTTTCCCCACAGTACCAGGTCCTTTTCAGTCTGGTAATGATGTATTTATGTAGGTATGTTCTTTGGGCACCGTAAAGTGACACACAGACGCACAGCAAAGTATTTAAGGGACGCAGAGGCATCAACCATGCAGTGACTACCAAATATGCATACTGTAATGTACTAGCCCAGTGATGGGCCTGAGCTTTGTGAGTAGCCACATGACTGAAAACTGACGGGGAAGGACTCTTGACATTTGTTGTTATAAACCGCACAATATTACATTATTTTAAAAGAGTTTTGGCAGGAAATTTCTTAAAATCTTTAAATAGTTGAGGCACTATAATGAAACAAAGGAGAACAAAAACATTTTAAATGTAGTCAGAGAAGATATATAAATACACAAAAATTTAACAGAAAAATATTAAATTGGCAATTCAAGACAAAAAAAGGTGTGATATAAAAAGATGTGATCATCAAATTGGTTCATTCAAGGATCAATTGCTGTTGGTGTTAAGACAAAATCACCCCACGATGTGTTGATCAGGAAAGATTTTATACTTAATCTCCTCAACCTCCCTTTCATCTGTAATGAAGGGGGTTCTGCTAGACTCAGTAATCTCTATGGTATTTTCTAGCTCTAAAAATTCTAGTTCTCCAGTGGATTTTTGATCTAACTCCCTGAAATGGGTCTCATTGGTATAGACAATGTGGATGAAAAGCCTTCTAACTCCCAAAGAGATAGTTTGTGGACAGAGGAGAGAATGTGTGATAGGGATGAAGGACATAGGCTATAGAGCAAAAAGGCTGCTTTTGTCATTGCCTAATAGTGTGACATTGGAAATGTCACTTAAATTCCCTTAGCTCCAGTTTTGCCTTTCTTAACCTGTCCACGGGCTGTTTTACAATGACTGAATGAAGCAAGACGAGTGAAAGAGTGTAGCAGGCTGTGAAGGGTTGGGAGCAGTTATTATGGATGCTGTGGCAGGTTTCTCACATAGCACACAGTCGTGGCCTTCTAATTTCAAGAAAGGTCAACAGCAGCAAGACTTGCCAGGCGTGGTGGCTTCAGGGCATGGGATGCTGGGTCAATCTTAGCCTTTAGAGAGCTGGTGCGTGGTGACTGCTGGCTCTCTTCCCTTGT